ACGAATCATGTATGTGCCTTGCAAACTATTTATGGATATCTCTCAAATACTAGATTATTTAATGTTTACTATTTAAATTAGCTTTGCGGATATAAATAACAAGGTTGACCAAACTGAAAAGTTACTACAAATACAAAAGGTTAAACAGGAATAAACTGTTTACATAATATATACAACATTTATGATATACTTTACTTAATATAGTTGGAAAAACTAACTACTTTTCTTTTATAATATTCCTATCGGGTATTTTTTTTTATTGAGTAAACACACCAAATTATTTGAAGTGAAAGTTGATTATTAATTTAGGTTGTATTTGGTATAATTAATTTTTAATATTAAATTATTTTTTTAGATAAACTATGAGGAATAATATTTTTAACAAAAGAAATATAATAGGTTATTGATCAATTGATAATGAAAACTAACTCTTTCATAAAAATATCTGACATAAGATTTGTATCTTATAATGAGATTTCATTTTTACACATGTATTTAGTAATTTACATCTTTACAATGAAAAGGTTATAGTTATGGACTTTATTTTTCTAAATAAAATATGATAACAAAACTATGTATAGTTATTTATTTGATTTTTGGAAATGTATTTGGATTAGTGTTAGGTTTTATTAGATATGATGTTTATTTACATTTTGTTAAAAACTTTCTCCTAAATTTATTATGGTTTTAAATTTTCGCTACATATTAAATTTTCTCACTTTTTTTCAAAGAAAATACTTAATATTTTGTGTTTCGGTAGGAATTTGTAGACCGAGAAACGTACCTCTATCGTTGTACTTTTGATCGGGAGGTACATGCAAAAGACTTGGACTCTCAAGTTATAAGCCGGTTTAATGCACACTTGAGTATTTGAGTTCTGATCAAACGTAGTAGAAATACCTTTTGGCTGACCTTATATTTATAAGTGCTCATGGATCCTAAACTAGCACAAGATCCAATAAATAAAAACAATTTACCTTTAGATTCGGTTAGTTACTGATAAACCAAGCTCACCAATATCTCTAATAAGATATCTTTGATTACTTTATCGTCAGCTGGACTATTGGTCCAATAATAATTTAAACGCTGGCCCAATTATGACCCAACATTTGTTGTAACGGATGGACCGAACGACTCTAAATGGATGAACCGAGCTACCTTGACTGGATGGACCGAACGATCCATATTGTATACCATACATTTTGTAATAGAAACTGTAAGTTTTTCTTTGAAGATAATCATACTTGGATGAGATTAACACGAGTAGTCAAAATTTCCTTCTAAACATTTAACAAAAATCGTACTTAAAACTCAAATTCGGGTTAGATATTGAACCAGAAAACCTTGTATTTATTTATTTTTATTCTCTCTTTTATCTTAATTAATATAGCAAACTTATTAGATCACCTAATTGATAAGCCTCAATTATCCAACGCTTGTTAGCCATAGGAGACGTCCAGCCCAAAACATTGTAAGTGGCCACAACCACTCTTACAAATTCCCAATTCGAGGTCTACGTTCCCTTGCAATATTAAGACTATCTATTGCTTTCCACATTCTATCAAATTTCTTCTAATATCATATTAATTCTGGATTTTTTATTCAGAATACAATAAATAATTCTAGAAATTCTTTTATGGAAAGTAATCACTCTTCTTGTTAGGGAAACAAATTTCTGACAATTTTTTAATGGGGTAGAGAGAGAAATTTTATAGGGTGTAGGAAGCAAGAGTTTAATATTAATTGTCATGGAAGCCTAACTGTTACTACAGCAATAACAAAGTACAACACAAACCATATCAACTTTCCTGTTAAATTCGTGTCGTAAATCTAATTTAAGGGTGTTGCTCCCTCCAAGTACTCTTCACCTCTTTACTATTTTTTTTTATTATAAAAATACTCTACATCTCTCCACTAAATTCTTTTATTTTAAAAATATCCTACACCTCTCCACTAAATTCTTTTATTTCAAAAATATCCTTCACCTCCTCACTAAATTCTTTTATTTCAAAAATACCTTACACCTCCCCAACAATCTTTTTCTTTCTCTCTCCACATTAATGGAGCATTCACATGGCTCAGATTTAAACTTGTGAATAATTACAAAATTTTATTTACACTTTCCTTAATAGTTTTGATTCATCTATTTCAACTGTTCAAATATTTTTTTTCTTCAAATTACTTAATAAATGGTAAAATTTGTTCTAAATTTCTAGAAAAATGTTATATATAATGTGTGTTTTTTTTACATTTAATATCTATAATTTTTAACATTATATTATGTTTTAACTTACTGATATGTTTGACTCAATAACTTGAATAAAGTATTTAATTTATTAGATAAATATATAAAAATTTATTATACTTAAAATATAAAGAAAAGTTATTTGTTAAAGATTTAGAATTTATTTGTTCTTCATCATTATAGTTAATATTAATAATAATAATTATTATTTACTATTAATATTATTATGTTTATTATTTTGTATTTGCATCTAACTTTTAAGTTTATAAAATGGAAGTGGTAGAAGTACTAATATTGAAGTTTCGTCAGAATTTTATATTTTGTAATATATCACAAGTTTAAATCTAGGCCATATGAATGCTCCATTAATGCAGAGAGAAAGAAAAAGATTGTTAAGGATATTGGGGAGGTGCAGGGTATTTTTGGAATAAAAGAAAACAGTGGAAAGATATAGAGTATTTTTGGAATAAAAGAAAATAGTGAGGAGGTGCAAGAAGCACTTTGGGTGGTGGAGGGAGCAATACCCCTAATTTAATTGCATTAGAGTTTATAGTTTGGTGGGCTTCTATATCAATTTGGGGTGATAAAGTTTGGTGCTCCACGAGTTCTTCATGACTTTTTCTTTTACCTCTTTTTTTATTTAATAATAACATTCAACCTCCATTAACCTATGTATCTTTATAATTTTTTTACCTCCTATTTTTTAAAAATGTCTATTTTTGTTATCCTTACACGTGACTTCTTGCCGTGAAGATCGGATTTTTCCCATATATTCATAGATGAGTATGAAGAAAGCACATGACACTCATAGGGGTGCATGAAGAAGCTATAGAAGTACGACAAGTAAAAGCAGTTGCCAATTTTTATCACGTGATCCATTTGTCTTGTTTAGTTTATGTTTTTCCATCTGCCGAGGTATATATGTTTTTAAGATTCTAATCAAATGCTCGCAAGAGTCTTTAGGCCAAATCAAATGACAACATGAAATTTTTCCTTCAAAGGTCGTATCTACGTTTTTAATAATTGCAAAATTTACGTATCTAAAACTTTCTAACAATTTTAAAATCAAGTAATTAAAATGAAACCAAAACACTAGCAGACTCATCTATTTATTCCCTTTCATTTTAGTTGTGATTATTATTAGAACTTATGGTTCTTTTTCTCCCAAAAAAAGCATTCTTAACTTCAATTGCTTTTAATTTAAATGGTGAGTGAGAAGCATCGCTTTGTGTGAGACATGTTATGATTGGCCTTTTCAATAAGTGACTGTAAATTGTCCAACCAGAAGCATGTGATTCTCATAATCTTTATATTGATGCATGAATTGAACAAAACCAACTCATTTGTGGTGTAACAATTCGAGAGTGACAAGATTGTTTCTATTTATGCTATTCCTCACGATTTCTTCTCTTCGTGCCTAACTTTTTAGTAGCTCGATGCATTTCTCCTGATTTTAGAGCAAGACTCATCACCTAAATACACGAATTATATTCATATATTATTTTTTCCACATTATTGTTAAAATCATGACTCAATAACTTCATAAAAAAGGATTCACTATACTCTCATGAATCATACATTTCAACTTACTAAATAGACTCGTTTATGTTTAGATAATCTTGTCCTTAAATACTAAAAGAAGACAAATGAAAATAACTTTTTTAAAGTATAATTAACTTGCTAATCTATGGAAGGTATATCACACTAAATTTTAAAAATTAACTTACAAAAAAATTCTCTCTCTCTCTCTCTCTGTATGTATCTCCGGAGAGATACAATTTTCTATTGAAAGAGTTGGAAGAAGTTGCTCTCAGTCTTGTGAGAGCCACCCAAATCTGATAGAGAACTTCAAACAAACTTTTATTAGAATAGATTCGTTAGACCTAAGGGGTTGGTAATGAAATTGATTTCATTCATATAGATAAATGTGTGTGTGTGTGATCAAGGGTTGAGTGAGGCAGAGCAGTCACGGGTCACGTTAGAGTAGGCTTAAAAAACTAAGATAGAGAAGTTGGTCCTTTTATTAATATGAAGAAATTAGCAGTTAAATGTATCTTAAAAATATGATTTTGAAAGAAAAAGACATGAGCTAGAAGGGTTGAAGCAAGTGAAATTTAAATGATTCATCAACCGAGATTACTATCATTTAATTTGTTGTTAGTTGTGAAGTTGTGAGAGATAATGACATGTTGCCAAATCCTATAGAATGAGCCTCAAAGTAGTAGTTAGATTTATATATAAGCGTTTACCTTTCCTTTCAAAACACGAACCAATCATCATTTCTTCACCCTCTACACCTTTTTACTTTTGGACCATATCTACCAACTTAAGTAATTTATAACCAAAGATAACTAATCTCCACTTTCCTTTTTTCTTAAACCACCCATTCTTTTTTCAGCTGAACTTCGCATGTGCAATCACTACAGAGAAAATTTTTACTCAACTAGAAAACTTCTCCGCATCACTATTTTTAAGTTCCTAATTTGTAGAAGGAGCAAATTGTCCTTCGAGGAAAATGGTTGGTGTCAATGCCTATTTATGTAACATTTTATTGCGAAGCACAAACTATTTGCAATATGGCAATGCTACCATCTTTAGATCTCATAAAGAAACTCTCCAACTTTCAAAAGAAAACTTCATCTGCAAGTTTTACTTGAAAACATACCTATATCTCTCTCACCCAATCACTCTCACACACACACGTATGAGATATTCATAAAGAAGGAGTTAGAGGTTAGAAGAAAGCAAGGTACCATTACAAATTGAAAACTTTCTTACTCAACTCGAAGTTTTTGCTACAAATGAACTGCAAAAAGAATTCCCAGAAATAGGGATATATATAGAAAGGGGAAAAAAATGAAAAGAATTCGAACAAAAAAAAAGAAACAAGCGAGACAGCGACTCCTAAATGACCTTAAGGGACCTACAATAACTAGACCTAAGACCCTACCCTTTTTGACTTGCATATGTCTACCCTTTTTTCCGCAGTTCTGATTACAATCTTCCCCTAACAGCTAAAAATATGATGATGATGATGATGATGATAACCTATTGCTACTATTCCCGGAGTTCAACCCTGTACAAAAACCAATGAACCAAAGAAATGAAATATCAATAAGAAATAACATAAGACAAGAAGACTGTAGAGGACAGCAACGAAAGAGAGTCCCAACAAAGGAGCATGGCTCCTTCACATGACATCAAATGTACTCCAGGCTAAGGCTGCTGTTAGTGTTTGGAATGAGTTCGGGAGAGGCAGCTGCATTATTCATCGCAAAACCAGATTTCTCAATGCCCCTGCATCTCATTTCCAGCACCTTCTTGTGGGAATTCGAGTGCAAAGATGGACAAAAGGTTGGGCTTGCAGCTGGGCGATACTCCGGGTAGAGCCTCCCAGACTTGAAACGAACACCACATGCATTGCACAGTGTTTTTGGCCCCATTGGCCCTGCTCTCCACTGTGGTGTCTTCGTTATTTCACAATGCATGCATTTCCTAACCGCTTGCAATCCATTCTGATTGCTATCACCGCCACCTGCAGGAACTGTCACCTTCACTTTCTTCTTTTTCTTAGGCTCCCCACACACTTGCTTTGGCATCTTTGCTACAAGTTGAGACTCGGCAAAATTCTCAGAGTCTGAAGAGGTCTTCGGCGAAATTACATTTGGTTGTATGTTCTCCCCGACAAAGGACGAGGCAGGGGAAATGAGGTTCATGGCTGGCCGAGGATTGAAGGTGGCAGGACGTGGACGCTTGCTGCGTGCGCGTCCACATGGCACAGGGATGTAAACCTCCGGGCTTCGTGGCGGCGCCGGCACCGTCTTTCCCCCGGAGCAGGAACTGCTGCTCTCAAGGACAGAAACTGGGCTTGATGTGTGGAATTGGTTGTGCACTGAGTCCTCCTTTGTGATGCACGATGGCTCTTCCACTTTTTTCATGGTCAAGCTCCCCCCACAAAACGAATCCTCCACAAAGTTCGACAGCCATTCCAATTGCACAATGTCTTCATACTGCAATGCAATCACCACATTCATGAGAATCATATCTTTGCCTTGTCAAATTCAAATGCATTTACTCTATCTTTTTTCTTTTCTCTTATACAATTAATACTACTATTCGTTAAAAGCGTGTTGTGCTATGTTTAGCATATTCCACAGAACAACATGCAAGCTCTTCAAAATGAATGAGGAATACGAATTTGTGCTCACTGTGAAAAGGGTATCATCAAACATGGAAAGCTAGAGAGTGAGTGACCAACTTTTCTAATTATTTGTGTTTTGTTGTTGCATCATGTGATTGTCACATGCAAAATCACATGATATCCAATAATGATGTTCAAATAATGGAGAGGTATGGGGATGTGCTGTGCCACATGTCACCGACAAAATTAAGTGTCATTTTAAAATACTAAAATTACTTTTTAAAAAATTACAATATAATAATGGTGAGTTAATAATGTCTCCCCAGCTAGAATTTAAACTATAAAAATTTCAAATTTAAATTATATATACAAAAAAATATTATTCCGTCAAGTGTCTAGATATTTTGAAATTTATTATCTTTATAGTGTCTACCAATTATGATTTTATTTTTAAAAAAATTATGCGCCATTTATGGAATGAAGACAATCACTTAACAATGCTCCCCACAACTAGAACCAAAATTTCATGCTATCAAATACGCGTGGTGTCAGGCTGGCAACGGCAAACACACAATCAGATCCGTACATGAAACAGTGATGTCATAATCTAAGTAATCCAACGGCATCATGGGAAGCCAGTGACGCAAGGACATATAATTACAGAGCAGTTCACGGAATTCATGTGAACGCGCCAAAAAATTCAACAAAACAACAAATTGGATAAAAACTGCAGCTTTTTCTAACAACTAACCGGAACTGAGAGCTCGGCGGAGAGGTCCGAAGCGCTGTTGCCGGAGAACACCGAGTCAGAACCGGGAAACGAATCCGCCCCGGCGGGCCAGATGCTTGCCAACGAGTTGCAGTTTCCGGCGGCGGCGGCGGCGGGCAAGGATGGGGTGATTCCCTCAACTTCCTCCACAGGAAAATCGAGAAGGTCGTCGATGTGGTCAAAGAAGCTACCGCAGTCTATCTCATCCATGAAGTTAGGTCCAACCATTTTCTCGGCAGGTGGAAAATTCCCTGAGAAAATTCAAAAATGGATAGAAAATCAGAGTGTGAAAGGAGAAAATGGAAAAGAAAATATCACATGGGGGAGACAGTGGCCCATTGTAGCCATTGTTGCGTAAATCAAAATTAATATTTTTCTTTGGAATCATTAGAGAGAAAGGGAAAAAAAGTTAACAAAAGGTAACTGACATGCGTTGTTATTATTAATTACTTATTTTGATGAAATGAAAATCCGAAATTGAAGATTTTAGCATGTGAGTGCAATGAGTGCTGCGGCGCATGTTAGTATGAGCTGTTCCCAGTATGGCATTTTGATTTTATCCAGAAAAACCTTCACTCTGTATTTTCTATTTCCTTTGAAGTAATCGAAGATACGAAACCTCATTTCGGCTACCACTTTTTTCCAAATTAAACAGAATGTGAACATTTTGAAAATTGAGGTAAAGTTGAAGAAGGCCAGCAAGCTAACCTCGTTCAACAAAGGAAAATTGAAGAGCAGGTTGAGAATTCAAGTTGAGGCAGAGAAAGAAAAAACGAAATAAACAAGAGGGAAAGACAAAATCACGTAATGTTTGAAAACAGTTTAAGAGAAAGGCGAAGTGTTGAAATTGAATTCCCTGGAATGGTAAGGTTGAAAATCAGAAGGTGGGAAGGAAAAGAAAGCAAACCTGAAGGGTAAAAGTGGTATGTTTGTATGTTTGAGATGAAACTGAAGAAAAAGGTGCAATCTTTAAAGGTAGAAAAGCTGGACAGCAGAGGAGGCAAGGAGGAAGAAGTGTGTGAGGGGGGTGGAGAGGTGTTTGGGGTTTTTGAAAGGAGAAAGAGAGAGAGGAGAGTGAAGAAGGCTTAAATGGAAAGAGGAGGTTATGAAGAAGGGAGAAGAAGAAGAGAGAAAGAGAATGTGATGGGCACTGGTAGGTGAGGCTCCTTCATCATTGCTAGCTGTCTTTTACTACCTCCACTGTCGTGATGTTGAAGACTTCTTTCTCTCTTGTTCCTTTTTCCATTCATCTCTCTCCTCAGATTAACCATGGGTCCCACCCACCCTTCTCTCTCCTTTCCTCCATTCACGGACTTCCACCCCACCCCACACAAACCATCTTCGTTTCAATTTCAATCCATCTACCCAGTCCCATTTCCCATACCACCCCCCAACTAAATTTTCAAAAATAATTAACACCAAACGTAAATGCCTTTTCATTTTCAATAACCACTAAATACAACAACACCATGCTCTTTACCTTTTCTTCTTCGCTGCTGGGTCTCAGTTTCTGTCAATTGCAATGCTTCCTTTCGGAGAGAGGAAAAAAAGTGAGAAACCAAGAAGGTGCAGGCTTTACATAAATAGAACAAGAGAAGCTTGTGTTTTGTCAGACTTTTTTTAACCGCCGTGTTTCAAACACTGTTTGTTTCTGCTTAGTCTCTGATTTCTTAAATAAAACAAAACAAAATTACTGCGTGGGTTTGCAGTAAAGCTGAAAAGTCAGAGTTTAGGAGCTTCCTCGAAGCGCGTGAGACACACTGAAAGCGTTATTACGACCTGTACGAGTGTTTGTTACGGGTTCGGAAACCGATGATTCTTTTGTATTCCACGCTGGATATGGTCACTTTGGATAGCCTCATTTATTATTTTAATTATATTTATTACGCGTTGCCACTCAAAACATAAATTACTACAGTACTATTATCCCCTTCTTTTTTCCATTAATTACCGTTTTTACCAAGTTTGAATTTTACCTAATTCCTGCCACCGTATGATTGACAAATCGTAAGTTTGCGTTTGTGGAAATTTTTATTCTTTCAAAAATAAGAAAAAGACAATTCCCATGGAATTACTTGCAGGACAAATTTGAATAGTGCAAGTGTGGGAAGAGTTTTGGAAATTCCAACTTTGAATATATAAAAAACAGAAAATTCTTTGTTTTCAGCTCAAAACCAACAAAAACAGTTCTTGAAATTCTTCTCAATAAACTCTCTCTTTTTCTGTTCCTCTTACACTGTTTTCTATTTTTACAACCAAACTTATTCTTTTAATAAATTATACCATTTTCTTCACCTTTGTTTACATGGTTTGGTTTGTACTCTATTTATTAGCCTTATCACACTTGGCTATCATGCTTTACATGCAACACTATAAACTTATGTTTCAAACAACATTTTATTTCATTCTCTTCTTTAATTTAATCCTTATTATTATATCTATACTTGTAAGATCCCAACTCACATTCCATTTCTTTCAGATGAAATGTAAACACTTCAAAAACAATTAAAAACCTTTTAAAAATGTTCCTATTTATTGTCTTATGTTTTTTAATTGATCTCTTTACTTTGTTATTTTATTTTTAGAAAAATTACTTTCAATTTTATTTCTATTCATCGTGTTTATCTTCGGTCCACTAAACCAATTTTTTTTTAAAGAGAAAACATTATCTGTCACATTCATAATTTTTCTTACTTTCTTTTCTTTTTATAGAAAGTCTTATTAATACTTCAAAAAAAATATTTATTAATGAAATAAGATTATTACAAGCAATAAACGGGTCTATTAATTATTTATTTAACACGGTTTTTTATCCTGTATTTAAATTCAAAAACACTAATTAAATTAAAACAATTGTGTATCTGTTTGTTTGTATGATCCAAAGTGAGCATCTTGCTACTGATTAAGTATTTTATATTCTCAAGTAGAATGACATGAAAACAAACTCTATAAAGAAATTATACCTACTTTATTGACCTCTTTAAGTTAAAAGTGATTACTTCAAACTATAAATGTGTGGTTGATTTTAATTTGTATCTCAATCAATTACTAATTACGGTTACAATTGAATTGTCAATAACTTTATATACAATTTTAGAAACAAATTAATAATTTTCCAAAAATATTTTTTTAATTTATCTACAAATTAAAAAGAAAAAAAAAGAGCTGAACTGGTTTACACTTATAAATTATAAAAACACACCATTTTCATTGTAATACTTATTTGATATAACATCAAGAGGGTTATTATTATTATTATTTAGATATATAATTTATCTCTGCAAAAGTAATTTGTAAGTTGGAAAATAGTGTTGTATGGTAATTGAAGAAAACATTGTCATCATATATTTGATAATTAACTATTTTTATAGTGATGACTGTAAAAGTTAAAATAACCCTAATTTTGCTAGTTTAAAGTCTTTGTATCAAATAAGAATGTTATATAAAAATTTGACTCCACATTTTTTAAAGAAACATAATTTTATACTTAAAACATCTGTAATGAAAAATGCAGACAATAACTATATTCTGTATACCAGTGTTTTAAAAGGTTTAGTATTCAATCATTTTTCTTATGGACATTTAAGTTCTGTTTGTTTCTACCGACAAAGAGATAAGAAATAAATAAATGAAAAAGAAAACTTGGAAAAATGAAAATTTAAAAATACGAAAAACAATACATAATTTCACACTTAATTTTCTTTAGAAACAAAATTGTAATATTATAACATTATGACATAAATATTATATATAAAATAAATTACATAGAGAAATATAACCAATTATATTTATGTAAATATAACTAAATATTTATCTTTCATATTATAATAAAAATTTAAATAAGAATATTTTAATACATAAATTAAAATACGTTAATTAACTAACTTGTGAGATAATTTTATTGTATTATGAAATATTTATTTACAATCATTTTTTTTCAATTTTAATTTATAATTATTTTTGTTACATTTTAGTTAAATATTTTTTATAATTTGCATGATTTTATTATTTTTTTTCATTTGGTTATATGTAACAAATTACTTAAAAGAAACTTTATTGTCTTTTCTTCTACTTTATCAATAAAAAAAACACAAATAGAAAATATCAAAAAATTAACTAACCCTCTCAAAGAAAGAAGTTTACAATTCTAAAGTTTAAGAATTGATA